GAAGCATGTTGCCTGTGTAACTGAGCCATCCTTTACCAAATGGTTGCTTCCTACAAAATAGGACAAGCTTACTCTGCTGTCAAGAGGCAGCTCTAGAAATATACCCAGACAAACTTGTTTAGCCAGTGCCTCTTCACTGGCCATTCACCTCACAGAAGTTCGTTTCAGAATTCACTGTAATCTGAAAGTTTGTAAAGGAACCCTGGTCTTTACTGAGATGCAGTAGGGTAATGGCTGTTAATTTCCCAGGAAGGTATGGCGAGGGCGTTGTAGTGATGTCACACTGAAGAATGTGTGAAGAAAGGACATTTGGGGTACTACTGACATAACATGGCATCATCCTACTAGTCAGCTGGTGTCTGATTTTTCTGAAGGCTGTGAAAACATCTTGTATCAAGTAAAAGTACAGGGGAGGTTATGGAGAAGAAAGAAGCTTTATTCTTCTAGAGAAAATGAGTCCATTTCTTCCTCTTACATTGAGCATGAGCTCACAGTTCGTCCCTTGTTGTTTTCATTGTGATTACTGTTTGTGTAGTTCAAGTCAAGACAAAAGGAAACAGGGTAAGCCCTACATCTGATTTCTAATGTATTCTCATCTCACTGGTAGGCAATCCCTACCTTTGAGTAGGAGGCTGCGATTTCATAGAAAGAGGCCTTAATATCAAAGATGTGCTATTGAAATTCCTGTGATAATCTGCTAAAATTTGGCCAAATGATGAGACTTTGTGAAACAGCATTTTGCACATGTTGGAGACATGTGAGAGTTTAATACTTAAGTCTCGAAATATTCCATGCTTACTTAGCAGAAAAATCTCTCACATGCATGGCCCGACTGTATAGCTGTCATTCAGAAAGCAATAGTAGGACTGAGTCCAAAACACTGCTGTATCACTGATGAAAAACTATAATTGCTTGTCTTGAGTTTGATAAGGAAACTGAAAGCAGTTGCTAATCTCTCAGTGATCCTCTCTTCCCTTGCTGACCTTTAATCAGCACGAAGGAAGAAATCATTCAATTTAAACAGAATAAAAAAAGAAAAGCAATGGATTTGAAAAAGGAGATGATGGAGATAGAGATGAGAAGGGCAAGCTGGGTAAAGAGTTGGGAGCCAGAAGAGGGGGCTAATAAAGAAATTTGATGCAAGGACCTGGGAAACTGGAGGAAGATTAGTTGAAGGGGTGTCTGGGAGTCTGCTCGAATTAATGGGGGAAGCTAGAATGAGTCATTCTGAAATCTGAGTACTTCAACACTAGAAGAAATATTTTCATAAAAATATTGACACAGTCTGTTTTAATCCTACTTCAGATCTGAGTTAAGTCATGCCAGTTCATGCCCTATTTTAGACTACATACAATACATATCTGGGTTGATGCAGCTATTTCTGGCCATAGGTGAGTCTTTAATTTCATGTCAAATTGGTGTCAAACTGGTCTGCTTTGTCCTTTGTGTCTTTCTTCTTTTATTAGTAATCCAAATTAACTTGATAAACAAGAGTTCTGTACCATTGCAAACTCTGTGCAGCTGGCATGCACTGTACCATTTTATAGATGAAGAAAATGAGTCAGGCGAGTCATGCATTTTGCTTTTGGAAGAGCACAATGAATCCGTGAATGAGCCAGGAATCTAAACTCAGGAATTTCTGACTTGTTTTTGGAAATCCTAGCTCATGCTTCCTGCTATTTTTTCCTCATTACACTACCAAGATAACAAGCCTACTTTTCTTGTTTAACGTGTGCATTGCTCCTATTAACGTTAACTTGTTTTACTCAAGCACTGATGAGCCAACAGTCTTGACCTTATAAACAAACCCGGCTTGTTACTGTTTCTTAATACTTCCTATCTGCAACTTTGTTATCTTTGTTGCTCAAAACCAAGCTGAGAATTGTCCTCTTTGCTTTGTTTACATGCTAGAGGAGGAAAAAACCCACACTGGTAGACAGAAAATTCTTAAAGTGAACAAGTGAAGGACAGACTCATTGTCTGTATTCCTACAGGGGTGTGTCATACTTAAAGAAACGGAATGGGGGTGGGAACTTAAGGAACAAGAGACAACCATGAAAAGCGAGAGGATGAGAAGGCTGGACTTGCATATTAATGAGAGCTCTCCTTTAACTGGGAATTTCCTTTCACTACATTTTTCTTTTTTCACCACCAATAGTTTTGTTGCGTTTTTTCTTCCTCTGCCTTATGTATTATTTCATGTTTGTTCCATTCTGTGCAAGAGCAGCATGGAGTTGGCTCATATCCTGATTTCTGAGAAGTGCAGTCCAGAGACCATGCTACCACACAGTTTTTATTCTGTACAAATTGAAAAGCTAATGTGTTCCTGTGTCAGGGGCATATTTCAAAGCTAGGTCAAAAGGAAACACATCAGATATCTGTGGGGTATCAAGTGACTGGTCCAAACTATATTATAAACAGGTAAAAATGCCATTCTGTAACTTGAAATTTAATTCTTCTTCACCCCTGATGTCTGCACCTAAATCCACCTAAATCTGCTGTTGTCCCTCCTTTCGGTATATGTCATGTCACCTGAATCTCATAGTGCCCTTCCCCAGAGAGAATGAGCTCTATGGAAATCAGTGCAACAAAACAGACACCTGTTCCTATATAGTGTTCAGAGAGAGAGACAGACAGAATCACATACATTCTGCCTCAGTCCACCTTTATGTTGTACACTGATTTTACAAATGATGCCTTTTGTTGTTTATCCTGTCTTCTCTCTTGACTCATCATTTTTTTTTGAAAAAGTGAAGCTACACACAAGAAGACATATATTTAAATAAAGATGGGGAATTTCACCAAAACAAATGGATTCAAATAAACAGGGTAGATTAATTCTTAACAACCACATATCTGAAATTATTTCTATAATTTTTTAAAATTTCACTTAGTTTTCATGTTATCAGGGAGTTATTCTCTTGAGACTGAGAAATAGAGTGTTGTTTTTTGTGGTTTTGTTTTGTTTGTTTGTTTTTTTCTGAAATACTTCTAGCCTCTACTGACCTTAATTTACTCTCTAGACAGTTAATTGCACATAGTAGACCTCTCTATATACACAGAGAGTATCAGTGATTTTTTTGTTACTTCCGCATGAGCATGCTCTGAGTGACTCTTGGTGGGGTAGGAGAGGAACAAAACAACAAAATCCTGGAAGAATACAGACTCAAAATATGTGTCCATTAGAACTGAGTGTTTAGTATACACCCACCTGGTCCTAACATAATTCCTTCTCTGTGTGCTAGCAGATTGTTCCCTTGCCCTGATTATGTTGCTGACATTATGCTCATGAGGGAAATTCCTGACTCCAGAGCTGGTGAATTTATAATCCTGTTGATGTAAGCAAAGCTCCCTGTACTTCTAAGACCCAACTGTCCAATCAGTTCTACATATAAACCTCCTGCTGAAGTAAATAGAATTGCACACGAGTAGGAACCGTGGTATGGTTTCTGCTCTAGAGCCACAGCTACGAGGTAACTTTAAGCTAGCACTGCCCTGACAAAGGAAACAGTAATCTCACTGCCCTCTCCATCATCAACTGCTTGTCTCTGTCATTTGCTACACAGGAACAAGTATTCATGTGGGGACACAATTTAACCAATGATGTTAAAATTAGCCAGGAAACAATGAGTAAATAATCTGCCTTTTTAAATATTCAACTAATATTAATTTTCATGCATCTAAACTTTCTCAGCAGAAAGCCTTCAAAATTTCAGCACAGTGTTGTGCTGCCTAACCTATCACACTGAACTATCACTAGAAGACTAACCACAAGAAGGCAGAAATGTCACACGCCAACATTGCACATTAGTGGTAGTAGTTTATACTAGAAATGTGTTCTTTTTGAGGAAGGATAGGACACAGAAGATGTTTTGATTTAGAAATGCAGCTGGGGTGCCTCATAAGAGCTGTAGTTTAGAAACTTCATGGTCCTATTGTTTTCTGTTCACCAGGCTCTCTAATCAGACAAAAAATGTATTATGGTGCCTCCTCTTTGGGTTGTCTAGCTTTATCTTTCTGTTCCTCCCCACTCCTAAGCTGAACTAACCAGAACTAGGGATTCAATTTTCTGTCTAGTTGAAATCTTCAATGATCCAATTACTTAAAACCAGCAATTACTGCTAGTTCCCTTCACTCTCATAATGCCTTGACTGCAGCTGCTTTTAGATTTTCATCCTTATGGATTCTTTGTGTTGCCATTTAGGGAGGCAGTTCTGCCTCAAAATTTAATGACTGTTTCCTGTTGCCTTTTGCTACCATGCCTTGGAATTCCAGTCCCATGTGAAGAGAAGCCAGACAAGCCTCATGCTCATACTGGAGTTTCGAATATGACCCACATCATAACCTGCACCAGACATTAAGGTATAGATGGCACAACATTTCAGTCGTAACACTGTCAAGCATCGAGCCATGCTGCACACAGCCCAGGTAAGAAGGGACAGTGTTCCACAGGTCATTACTCGGCTAAATCTGAGTAGTGCCTGGCACCATGGACAACAAGACGTTGTTGTCAGGTTGGCTGGCAGGAAAAAACCAGTTGCCAAGAGTTGTCTGTCACGATAACCAAACAACTTAGCAAGAATCAGAATTAGGGAAATCTAATTTCCCTGGATTTGGCCATGAGGTTAATTGGTTCTGGCATCTCACCCCACACAGGTCTCGGTACGAGCTAAAGCCGATCTCGCCCCAGCTGCTGCCGAGGGGGCCGCCGGACACCTCTCTGCTCTGCCCTTCGCCACAGCTCCCGACGTGGCACGGCAAGAGGGCGGACCGCTTCGCTGCTCCCACCACAGCTCAAAACTTGGGGAAATCCATTCCCGTTCGGCCTGGCAGCCCCACGAAGCCGCCCCTCAGGGACACACACACACACAGACCCGCGGCGAGGCCGCCCCTCAGGTGCGCCCGTCCCGCCGCCACCTGCCGCGCCCCGCCCCGCCCGCGCCTTTCCGGCCGCGGCCCCGCCGCGCCTGCGCAGCGGGGAGGGCGCGGGGCGGCGGTGCCGATGCTGCCGGACGGTGCTGGCGGCGACGGCACCGGGAGAGGGATCGGGAGCGGGGCCGGGAGCGGGACCGGGCGAGCCGGGAAGCGGCGCGCCCGCCGAGCAGTGCTCGGCGCGGGGCGATGAACTCGCGCAAAGGTACCGCGCTGTGCCGGGCGGGCGGGCAGCGGGGGAAGCGAGCGGTGTGTGGCGGGGGGAGGGCTGCGCGGCCGCCGTCGCCGCTCACGCCGGCTCCCGGCTGTTCTGTTCTCCCGGCAGTGCTGGCCCTGCAGGCCCGCAGGCGGCGGCCCAAGCAGTCCGCGGCGGCCGGCAGGAGGGACAAGCACTCGGCGCCCCACAAAAAGTGAGTACGGGGATCACCGACCCGCCGGGACGGAGCCTCTCCCCGAGCCCCCTCCGCTGCCCGCCCGTCCCTCGCGCGTCCCTCCCGCGGCGCCCGGGCGGGCGGTCCCGGCCCCGCCGCTCCTCGCACGGGGCTCTCGCCTCCGGCGGGATAGGCGGCGGCTCCCCCGGCCCGACACACCTCCCGCCCGGGCCGGGCCCTCCAGGGCCGTCCCCAGCCCGGGCGCCGGGCTCAGCATCCTGCGCGCCGGGCTCAGCATCCTGCGCGCCGGGCCGCTGGTGCCCCGTGGGAACCTGCGCCGGCCACTCCGGCTCCGAGAACTCCCGGGTTGTCGGGGACCTGCACAGCCCTCGTGTTCCTCTAGGTTGAGCTCCCTCCAGTTCTCTCATCTTCGTGGTCCTCTTTCCCTGTGCTTTCTGTTCCGAGGTTTCTTTCTGGCGGCATTGTCCCATCTATGGGCAGTCCTTTTCTCATCCTGCTCGGTACCATCAGATTATTTCCCCTTCCTAGTTGTGTCTGATTGCCAGTGACAGACGTTGTGATCTGTTTTCCCCCTCCCTGTCTTCTGCTAGCCCTTCCTGTTCTTGTCACTGTCCAGTGGATTTTCTCATTCTCATGATACCTGTTTTCACTGAACCACGAAGGAACATCTCTATAGTGTTTACGCTTCACTCTTTTTCTGATTTTGTATTATTTAATTTTTTGTTCCTTGTAGGATTACATGTGTCTGTCACTAATTTTTACTGTTTTATTCAGTATGACTTTATTGGTGACTCACAAAGTTGCCAGTAGACTTGTCTTTGTTTCTGTTGCTTGGGGATCCAGTTTACCTGCTTTGGTTTGACAGGAAAACATAAGTCCTGATGTCACTCATTCCCTTCTCCCAGTGCTTAGAACTGGGAATTAGGGTATGGCGAATATATGGACATAGGTGTGGTGAGGTAGAGACATTGCTATGGCAAATATGGCAATTGATTCCAAGGGCAAGGTCTTTTCCTTTATGACTTCTAGTGGAAGAAATAGTAATACATCTGCGACTGTGAAGTGTTTAAGGTGTTTTTTGGTAGTTATGATGAATGGGCTTCCCCCCCCCCCTTTTTAAGATGGGTAAAGATAATGTATGATGAGTTGCTGGTGTAGCAGTGATCAGACTTTGATAGCTAACTTTTGTTCACATCCTGTTCCCCTACTGCTGTTTCCTCCAGCACTGTATGAATGCTTTCAGTTGTTTGAATTTGAAGTTATTGCAATGGAAACAAATTTGCTGTGCAATATATGTAGCCATTGATTCTCTTGTGTCCTTTTGGAAATTCAGTTTATAACATTGCATGGATTTGTTTTGGTACTTTTAAAATGGAAATAGGTTAAATTTCATTGTAACTCTAGGTTCAGAATTATTTTTGTAGCTTTCAGTCAAGTCTTAACCACAAGGTTATTAATAAACTTCTGTTCTGCTTAGGTGATAGAGCATTCAATACACTTCTTAGTGGGGCTGCTTTGGGATGTCTTGCTGAATGAGTTTGTTAAAAGTTTGCTTTCACAGACACTTATTAAGCACAGAACTGGTACTCTTTGTGTTTGCTGAAGAAATTGGCTACTGTTAAGTCGGGCTGCACAGTCAGTAGCTGGCCATTTGCCTTACTGAGTCGGCATTTCCAGATGCAATGCCCCAGTCTGTTCAGTACCCTCATGAAACAAGTGGTTTTGCTGCAGTAGACAAGAGCCATCTCTTCATTTCTGCCATGTATGTTTTCTCTTCGAACCACTTTTATGCTATGGAGACCTCCTACTCTTTTTTTATGCCTCTTTAAGAAAGCAAAACTCCTTTCAAATTTTTAAGTCTCCTTGCATATGGCTAAATAGTTGAGGCCCCCAAAGTAGAGTTAGCCCTGGACATTATTTCAGAAGACAACATCAGCAAAAGTCTCTCTTCTGTGCTGTTCCTAGCTTTGCTTTAAATTCAACTGCTACAGCATACACTAGTGTTCTAGAGCCATATGGTATCTGTGATGCACATCAAATGCACAGTAGCTGCAAGTGAAAATGTTGATTTGAGAGGTGGAAATTCTATACTGGAAGTTCCCTGTAGTGTTCACTACATGAAAACTGTGACTTATTTTTGAATCTGAAGCTGGTTTTTTTTTTTTTTTTTAAACTGTGGTTCTGAGAAAGACTCCTCTGCCAGGTCATAGCTTTATGGAGCAACTTCCATTGTTGCTAGTAACAATGTGCTTCAAAGGAACTGCAGGATTCCTCTTTTAGAATTGGCTAGGAGAGTTATATTGTATTGTGGCTTACTTACAGGCCTTTGTTTGAAGAGTATTAAGATGATGACACAAGAAGAAGAAAAAATTATAGTACACTTTAACACTGAATAGCTTTTTGTCTATTATGACTTTAATTGCTAAAGAAGGCTGTGAGATTGGTCCTGTAACGGCTCAGTATTAACCCCTTAAGTCAATGATGGGAACTGGTGGAGGTGAATCTGTATGTTTTGTGTAATAGGATGGAAAAATAAGAAAGTAGAAGCTAAGTGTCTCATTCTGAAGAGAAAGCACTTTGTCTTAAATTAAGACTATATCTATGATTGCATGCAATAATAAACTCTATTTGGGATGGCCTTACTTTGAATTCAAACATCCAGGCTACTGAAATAGAATAATATTCCACTTTATTAAGATAACAGCACTTAATTTTGGTTTTAATGGGTGGACTTCAATGTGGTGTGTGCAAACTACTTACCTATCGTTTGAGTTGGACAAAAGATTAATCCAAATGGTTAATTTGGGTCCTCTGGGAATTATTTCTCCTTAAACTGGAGATGTGCATTGAGAGAGCTCTGTGAAGTAGTGCTTTTGACAGATGCCTGAGTTTGTGTAGAGATAAATTTGCTTACAGATAGACAAGTCTGTTTACTGTCCTTTACTTAGCATTAGGTAATGGGGCACTTATAAGCACTGGGGCCTCAGGTATGTCTACCTTTTACATTCAGCAGGATAGTGGGCTCTTGTTTGTATTCAGACTAGTACTGGCTTCAACTGGAACAAACTTCTAAGATACTTTTTTTGCTTGACCTTATTTCCAAGTGAATATGACAAAAACCAAGTGAATACCCACTTAGAGATTTGTCGTCTTTAACACATTAGCTTTACATTTTTATCCAAAATTAAAAGAAAGCATTCTGTATGTAAAAATATCCAGATGATGATGCGTGGACCTATGGAGAGAGGATTCTTTACTTCAGTACAAGTGTATAAATCCAGATACCAAGATCGACTTTTCAGAATTCAGTTTTCTTGTGGAGTTTGTTTTTTGATTTTGTCTTTAAGCAATACTTTAGAGCAGGTGGGAGAGACCACATGATACTACTTTGTAGTGGTTAAGTGTGTAAGGTAACAAGGGAAGTGCCAGGTCTCTGTCCTGTGCACCTCCAGGTGACTGACTTCTTGGGCCCACAAGTATTGTAGAGCTATCAAGGTTTTAGATATATGACTTTACTGTGCAATCTGAAATGTGTGAAAACCATTCACTGCTTTTGTGTGTTAGCATTTCTCTACCACAATGTTTTTCAGCAATAAGTTTTTGGTGTGTTTGTTTGGTTGGTTTTGGTTTTGTTTGTTTGTTTTTGAAAAAAACCCTATCTATTAGATAGTTCCTGTGCCCATGGTTATTGCCTGAATGTATTCTGTTCACTGACCAAAGGCAACAGGTAATCCCTCTTGGGCTTTCTCTATGACAGTGACCATAAACTATGACAGTCTGAGGTGGTCTTGTATTTTTGAATAGGAGTTGTAGGATAGGTTCAGAAGGATAGAATCCAACGTTTTGCCAATATGTGGTGAAAGCAAATGAGGTGATCTCAGTTCTCTACTGAAGAAAGGGACAGGTCTGTTAAAAGTGGAAATGTAACTATATAGCAGTTGTATTCATAATTGTTCCCTTTTATTATTAGTTCCTTCTATTGTGATTCTACCAGACTCTTGCCTTTGTAATCTAGCCTATATTTTAATAATCAATAACTAATTCTGTTCTAATTGCCTGTGGGGACTTTGGGAATGGTCCCTGTTTAATTAGACTGGTTTTTTTTTAAAAAATTTTATTAATATTTGAAGGAATAAAAATTGTCTCTTTACCTGTCATTACAGTTCCAAATATTCATTTCTTTAAAGTACTGCCGGTTTTATGTATTTGAAGTGATAGCCTTTGCTTCCTGGTTTTCCTAGCAACACTTGGGTTTTTTTTTTTAATCTCCAAGACCCTTATCCTTGTTTTCTCATTTTGCACTTTTAACCTGTTAACAATTATAGCATATTGTAAGAGGAGTGGTTCTGTTTGAAGCTGGCAGAGCTTTGGCAGCAGTCTTTTTCCTGTGTCCACCTTTCTAACCCAGTAACGTGCCTTTTAGGATGAACTCTGCCTTTGGAAACTATTGTATTTGGATGGATCTCTGAAAATGTGCAAAGAAGGTATGGGGAGAAGTGGCTGGAAAAATAAGCATAGTATAATAAAGCACATCTTACAGAGCAGAATTGCAGCTGTCTGTGTCTGAGCCTAAGATAACCATAGAAAAACTTTCTGTGTTTAAAGGAAGACATTCTGAACAAGTCCTTTGGCTGAAAAAGGTGGTCTAAATTTCAAGGTGAACCTCTGTAAAGGTAGTAACTGTTTGCATTTTCTGTGTACTGCTTTTATTTTAGGTTATATGTTTGGAAATCCTAAGATTTAAACAGTGTGTGTCTAAATACCACATATTCTGGTTTTGTCTGGCAAAGCAGACTGGCAGACTTTTGACTTTTTCATTGATGTCCTGCATAATGAAGTCATGTTCTGCTAGGGAAGCCTCTTTGAGTGTTATTGCTAAAGGAATCTTGAGCTTGTTGGTTAAAGGGAAACTGCTGAATAGACCCTGGTGAAATAATGCTTCTTGACAGTATTGGTGCCTCACTGTTTTTTCCTCAACTGAAGCTAGTCAATGAAAAGTCAATAATTTGAATGTAGGA